TGGAATTTAAACATGAAGTGATAGAAAATTTTGAGTGGTATGAAGGTGGTGGAACTTGCCAGGATGTACGGCGAGAATAAATCAACAATTATATCCATCCTGGCAAAGAAAGAACAAATCAAAGATGCTAATGTTGCAAAAGGAGTAGCTTTTCTAACTAAACAATGGACACCAATAATGGAAGAGATGGAAAAATTATTATTATTATGGATTAAGGAAAAAGAATTAGTGGGGGACAGTGTAGTGTAGTCAATCATTTGTGAGAAGCCAAGGCAGTTGCATGAGGATCTTGCAAAGAAAATGCCTGGAACAAGTGCTGTAGTTTGTGAATTTAGGGCCAGCAAAGGATGGTTTGATAGATTTAAGAAGCATAGTAGCATACACAGTGTTGTAAGGCATGGTGAGGCAATGTGGACCAGGGTGCAAGCTTTGTAGAGAAACACCACCCTGATGAAGCTGAAACAAGCCATATCTGCAACATGTTTAGTGACAAAACCCTGTCTTACTTCAGGGAAATCTTAGAGATGCCAGAAACAGAGCACTCTGGACAGTTATTTTGTGAGACAGGGGTCCAGTGACTCAAGCTGGTCCTAGTGGCATTAAAAGACAGAGAAGGGAAGTAACCCCAGAGAAGGCATTGCTACCTATAGTCTTCATGGAGGAGGATTTCCCTTTCAAATGCTAATTCCTCCCTCTTTTCTCCTCCCTATCTTCCAGAAGCCAGCATTAGCCTTCAATAAAGGTATGTAATACTAACATAATTGTAAAAAAAAATATATTTTTTTGTGAATATTTTTGTTTGGAATGAATTAATTTTATTTCCATTAATTCTTAGGGGAAATAATTCGTTTATCGGCCATTTCGGTTATCGGCCGACCTTCATGAATGGATTACAACTGATAACCAGGGGTCCACTGTACAATTGAGTATTTTAAACAATGAAATTTGAACATTTTAATTTTGAAGCATTATATTTTTACAATTTTGTAACATTACAGTGAATAATATAACATAATGATCAATTTACTATATGTAGTCGTAAAATTTATTAATCAGATCTAATCAAATCAATGATATTTAGTGCAGCAACAGTTCATATGGTCATGAGTTACTGTGCATTCAAGAGAATGGATTATTCTATTAGGTAATGTTATAAAAACATAGTTTGATAAGGTTTCTATAATTATGCAACTGGGTTATACATTTGTGAAATATAAGTTATTCAATATTTCCATTAGATTAGATATGAGAATTTATTGATCTTTGAGCATTCATTTATGGGGTCCTAAGGCTAGCGGAGTAACACAGTGAGTAATGATATTTTGAGGCAGTAGAAAGTGATTTGTTAACTATGTAGGTAAAGTTAAATTAAGTACAGTGGTCCCTCAATAATCGTCCATAATCCGTTCCTGGAAGTGGGACTATTATTGAAATAGATGATTTTCGAATCAATTTTCCCCATAAGAAATAATGTAAATACAATTAATCCTTTCCTGACACCCAGAAGTATTAAAAGAAAAATTTTTTTTACATGAAATATAGATGTAGTACATAAACAATACAATGGGAAATGATGAATGAAACATTAACAGAATAACACTTTCCTTTATTGGAGATTCTTCTTAGTGTATGGGAGACTGGAGGAGGAGAGAGATTGGATTATTTACTCTTTGGAAGGGGAATCCCGTTCCATCAACACCTCAGGTACCAATTGCTTTTCTGGGGTTACTTCTCTTCTCTGTTTCTTAATGCCACTAGGACCAGTTTGAGAGTGACTGGAGTCCTCTCTCGCAAAATAACTGTCCAGAGAGCTCTGTTTCTGGCGTCTCTTTAACACTTCCCTAAAATGGGCCAAGACTCTGTCACTGTACAAGTTGCCGATATAGCTTTCAACATCCTTCTCAGGGTGATGTTTCTCCATAAATTTTTCCATCCTACCCCACATTTAAAAAATCTCCTTTAATTTCTGAAGAAGGCACCTTCTTCCATCTCTCTTCCTCCTCCTCTGCAGCAAGATTCTGAGCTGCGATCTGTTGCTCCTCCTGCTGAAGCTCTTGCAGCTCCTCAGTGGTTAGCTCTTCGTTGTGGTCCTCCACCAACTCTTCCACATCCTCCATACTCACATCCAACCCCATGGAACTCCCCAATGCCACAACAGAGTTCACAACTGACATAGGCTCATCAGGGGCTGCCTCAAACCCTTCAAAATCCCTCTTGTGGACACAATCTGGCCACAATTTTCTCCAAGCAGAGTTCAAAGTCCTGGTAGCCACTCCCTCCCAAGCCTTACCTATAAGGCTTATGCAATGGAGAATACTGAAGTGTTCTTTCCAAAAATCTCTTAGGGTCAAGTGCGTGTCTGAGGTCACATTAAAGCACCTTTCAAACATTGCTTTGGTGTAGTTTTTTTTAAAGTTTGAAATGACTTGCTGGTTCATGGGCTGGAGGATAGGAGTGGTATTTGGGGGCAAGAACTTTACTGTGATGAACCCAAACTCCTTCAGAATTAGGTCATCCAAGTTTGGAGGATGAACAGGTGCATTGTCCATTACTAGGAGGCACTTGAGATCCAATTTCTTTTCCAGGAGGTAATTCTTCACACTAGGGCCAAACACTTCATTGAGCCACTCAACGAAAATGTCTCTTGTGACCCATGCCTTATTATTAGATCTCCAAAACACACACAATTTACTCTTCATAACATTGTTTTTCTTGAAAACACTGGGATTTTCAGAATGGTACACTAGTAACGGCTTCACTTCAAAATCCCCACTAGCATTAACACAGAACATGAGTGTCAGCCTGTCTTTCATAGGCTTGTGTCCTGGCAGTGCCTTTTCTTCCTGAGTAATGTAGGTCCTCTTTGGCATTTTCTTCCAAAAGAGGCCTGTTTTGTCACAATTGAACACTTGTTCAGGTTTCAGTCCTTCACTGTTTATGTACTCCTTGAATTCATGCACATATTTTTCAGCCGCTTTTTGGTCCGAACTGGCAACCTCACCATGCCTTATCACACTGTGTATGCCAGTATGCTTCTTAAATCTCTCAAACCAGACTTTGCTGGCCTTAAATTCACTCACATCACCACTAGTTGCATGCAATTTCTTTACCAAATCATCATGCAGCTGCCTAGCCTTTTCACAAATAAGCATTTCATAGGACCATCTCCTGCTAATTGTTTCTCGTTTATCCACACAAATAATAACTTCTCAACATCTTCGAGTACTGGTGATCTCATTTTTGTCAGCATATTTACCCCCCTTTGCAACAACAGCTTCCTTGATTTTCTCTTTCTTGACCATGATGGAAGATATGGTTGTGCAGGATTTGTTATATATCCTGGCCAGTTCGCCCACACGTTCGCCACTTTCATATTGTTCAATGATGTTTTTCAAAATTCAATCCTATTTCTCACCTTCTTTACCAAAGGCTTGGCACTAGGAGATTTCTTTGGAGCCATGGTAGCTTATTTAACACTTGAAAGCACTAAAATGAATGGAATATTGTGAAATATTTCGTATGAACACGTGAGGGGACCATCGTTCACTGGTAAACAATTGCACACTGGCTGGGAATGGCTCAGAGCCGTGAGTACGCGTCCAGGACGAAACACGATTAACGAGTTAACGGACCATTTGTGAGCCATTGTTTAGACCAAATAATGGGACTGTTTCCGAAATGGACGACTTTCAGGCCGGACGGTTATTGAGGGACCACTGTACAATCATGAATAGCATACAAAAATACACTGCAAAGTCGCTGTTTTAAACCAAAAACACAGAGTTTTTTATTCTCATTATGCACTGTGTGCTGCAGGATTTTTTTTATACTGTGCACACTGACCACATAGACCCATTCTTTCATATGTAGGCCTACTGGCTTTCTCTCGCTAGATTTGAAGGCGTTAGAATTTATGAGTACGTACTAGTACGTCAACCCTGGCATGCAAGCCGTACTAATACGGCACCAACCCTGAAAGGGTTAATCCTGGCTTTCTCATTGACTTCTTGACAACAACTGATTTACTCCACAAACTCTGATGATACCTTTCGCACTCCCCTCAGCCCTTTCTACCTCAGTCTCTTGCTACCCTCTACCCCTGCACTATCCACTGCCCCGCTGTTCTCCGTAACCTACTAATCATCCCTCTCCCTTTTGCCACCTGATACCCTCACTTCCGTCCTGCCTTGCAGCGCTGTATAACCCTTGTGGTTTAGCACTTCTTTATAATAATAATAATAATAATAATTTACTTAGGGCATAGGTTATAGGACATTCTAGCAGGATGACACAACCATCGGTATCAAAAATGAAAGGATGTTGCTCGGTTGTTACACATGGGTTATAGAGTTTTTTTTTATTTCCTCGACCACTTGTGGCCACATCCATCTCAAAGCCACTAAACTCTGGCTCATCATCACTTTCCTCTTAAAAGGGGAGTGTTAATATGACATGACATCAGTGAATTCCTGGTGTTTGCCATGCTGTTTGCTCTAGCTGGCGCTCAGTTGAACTGGTGCTTCCACAAACTACTAAGTGGTCCCAGATTTTTTTAATACTGCGCACACTAAGTGTTAAGACCCATTCTATATAGGAGAAATAAAGCATTGATGTACATTGGGAGTGCTAGCGGTAAGAACATAGATCTATGTTTGGACAGTTTAAGGGTTAAATATACATAAATAAGGATTTTTTAAAATTTCATTTTGTCATATTATATAATCACTTATTTTTAATATTGTGAAACACACTCAGGTCTCTTATAAACCTCCTGTACATAATGCAAGTTTTCTTAAAAGTGGTTGAAAAAGTACATCGAAAATTGAATAGCACATACAAAAAAGGCTTTTTATTGGGCTATTGAATTTTGAATGTAACTTTCCAGTCACATTTGTGAAAAATTGTACTAAATTAAGGAACTTTACAGGAGAGTTGACTCAGGAAGAAATGCTAGTTATTAATTGATTTGTGGCTTCATAACCAAAAAATCCACCTAACAGGTATGATACGCTGGAGTATCAGCATCGAATGCGACCAAGCATCTCTCGTTTACTAGTACCATCCATATACCCTGAGTTGAAGGACCATCCATCTGTACATAATTTTCCACACATTAATGGTGTCTCAAGTGATGTCTTCTTTGTCACTCATGAAATTCCTGAAGATAAGGTATGTAAATTTAGTTCATTGTTATTTTTTTTTTCTCCATGTGTAGTAGAAGTTTAGGTTAAGTAATCTAGAGAACTGACTATGGAAAAATTTGATGGAAAGACACTAAAGAATTAATAAAAAAGTCTCTGTTACTCTATTAACTGTCAGATTAAGAGAGCATCACTGTAAGCTCAGGAAGATGACCTCTAGAAAAGACACTAGAAACATTTTTTGTTGTGGAGTGGTAGAGCACTGGATGGTTTATAAAGGCAAATAGACAGTGCTACATCTAGGAAACATTAAAAAAAATTATGAATGAACACTGGAATTGGTACACAATGAGCACAGCTTGTTAGCTATAACTGCTATTGGAACAGAAAGAACAAAGTGGAACAGTAAGAACTTAGTGGAATAGTAAGAACATAGTGGAATAGTAAGAACTTAGTGGAACAGTAAGAGCATAGTGGAACAGTAAAAACATAGCTCTGTTTCTGTACCACCGCATTAGTAATTAACAGGAAGCTGCACAATAATTTCTTGCATTTGAACCTAACACACTAAATTACACTCCATTACTGTACTTAAAGTATTTTGTAAAATCTCGTAATTTACTCTGGTTTCTACAACTAATTTACATCCACTGCTGGGGGGGGACGGGGGGGACGGGGGGGACGGGGGGGGACGGGGGGGGGGATTAAATTAATAATGTTTGCTTCATCAGCTGAAAACTTGAAAGATTTATCTGATTTTATTGCTTATGTTTTTTAAAAATTGTGAATCATATTCTATCACAGCAAAAATTCCCTCTAGCAGCTCTTGCAGGAGTTATTTGCTTACATAAGCGAACTAAACTAAATTTATTGTGCATATTGCAGGAGTCCTGTTGTCTTGGATGATCTCTGGTGAAATTAGTGGTTTATAAAGTTTCAGTAATTTTCTGAAACTAGTATTTTCATGGTGTGTTTGTTTCAAATCATTTGCAACATTTTATTGAAATATTGGTTTTAACATTGAAATAAGACAGACTTTATTGGAAAATATTGTATGGAGTACTGTTTCACTTCATTCCCTTATAGATAATGATTTTTTCCTTCTGCACTTCTGGATTGTCTTGAGAATTGAAGAGGACTGAAGATAGATGTAGTTAAAAGAAAAAGAGATATTCTGTCTCCAGTTACATAATTGCTGGTGGTAGGACTGGAAACTAGATAAGTTGCTTTTATGCAGGCTTAGTACAAATAAGATTTATTTTTTGTATTTTTACTGCTAATTTTTTTTTTTTTTTTATAAGGGATATAGTGAGAATAGTAGCCACAAACATACACATGAAGCCAAATTTATAATGGGACTTTGCCAGCACTTACTAAGACAAGGATATGCTCCACAAGATGTGACAATCCTCACACCATACACTGGACAGTTTCTTCTGTTACGGAAGGTAAGATTGGCTTGTACAGGTTGGCCATCACTAATTCGGCAATCAGTTATCCGGTTCCGTCAGTAATCCTGCACTAATTTTACCTAGCATAATTTCAAATTTCATTATTATACTGACTCATATCATTACACTGACTCAAATTTTATCATTATACTGACTCAGAAATTGCGCAAATGGTTGCAAATCCACAGCAGCAAGCCAGTGGAGGAGAAAGCAGTGATGAAAATGAGGAAGATATAGCAGTCTCTCTGTTGATAGGTTAATTAAGTGTATTCTATCCTAACCACTCTGTAATCTGGCAAACTCACTAATCTGGCACACTACAGGTCCCAATGATGATGGATTAATGATAGCCGACCTGTACTCTTATCTTCTTCATTATTCATATATCTTCCCTTCAAGGATCACATCTGATTGCTTCCTATTCCCCAGAAGTTTATAACCCCTACTATTACGACATTTTTCTATGAAAATAATGATAATAAAAATAATAATTTTTCATTACCCTTCCTTCTTCTTTCTTTCAACACACCGGCTGTATCCCACCGAGGCGGGGTGGCCCAAAAGGAAAAACGAAAGTTTCTCCTTTTGCATTTAGTAATATATACAGGAGAAGAGGTTACTAGCCCCTTGCTCCCGGCATTTTAGTCGCCTCTTACAACACGCATGGCTTACGGAGGAAGAATTCTGTTCCACTTCCCCATGGAGGTAAGAGGAAATAAACAAGAAGAACTAGAAAGAAAATAAAAGAAAATCCAAAGGGGTGTGTATATATATGCTTGTACATGTATGTGTAGTGTGACCTAAGTGTAAGTAGAAGTAGCAAGACGTACCTGAAATCTTGCATGTGTATGAGACAGAAAAAAAAAGACACCAGCAATCCTACCATCGTGTAAAACAGTTACAGGCTTCAGTTTTACATTCACTTGGCAGGACGGTAGTACCTCCCTGGGCGGTTGCTGTCTACCAACCTACTACCTAGGATTACCCTTCCTAATTAACATAATTTACTTCTTATAAACCATGCCCAACTTTATTGTAATCTTTTCATCTTATTATTGCACTGTTCTAGTCTTGAGTTAATTACCCAATCTTATACTTGCCCAATTTTACCAATACCTTATTGCCCAATCTATTTTAAACTTTTTATTATTGCCCTTATTATTTATAAAGTTTATTACTCAATTTTATTAAATACTTTTTTATAATTGCCCTATTCTGTTGTAGACTTTATCACCCAACTTTATTTTACTTTTCTTAACCTTTTGTTACCAATTTTTAAGCTTGTATATTCAACTCCAACTTTTATGTTATCCTGTGTACCATCTTGCTATCATATTATAACCAAGTCATTGCCACTTTTATTTTTTTATTAATTTTTATTTTCTTTTGCTACTTCAACTTGTGTATTTTGTCTTGTCAATTTAAATTTAATTATACTCTAGTTCTTGTTAACAACTTATATTAGACCTTAGTGCAATTACATGTGAGAGTCTTGTGCCATTTTAAACTAGTATTTTTTATATTATTATATTAAACCTAGTTGTACTTTAGCTCATTCTAGCTCAATACAGACAACACCAAATTCATTATATTAGACCTTAGTGCAATTACAAGTGAGAGTCTGGTGCTATTTTTAATTTGTATTTTTATATTTTTAGTTTATACTTAGTTGTACTTTAGCTCATTCTAGCACAACACTTAGACAATATCAACTTCATTATGTTTATTATTGACTATACTTTATATGACCAAAGTGCTTTAGCTATATACTTGTCCAAACTTCCCACCACTACAGATATCAGTATTAGAATTCACTGCACAATACAGGATATAAATAACCACTATTTAAACCTAGAAGATGAATGATCACTTCGACTCTGATCTAAACCTCCACAATATAACACCCAATCAAAACCTACTGGAAAGTAACTGTCTTTATTACACAGCATCACAAGCCAGCACTATCCTAAACAGTGCTAAAAGTCTATCAGTTCTTAACTACAACATTAGGGCCTTAAGCAAACACTATGATGACCTCCTGGCACTCCTTGAGTTGCTAAAGACACCCTTCTCCTGCATTATTCTTACTGAGACCTGGCTTAAGCAGGACACAATACATATCTACCCACTACCAGGATACACAGCAATCCACAACTGCAGACCATACCAAGTTGGGGATAGTATTGGAATCTATTACTCCATCCAACTATCTTGTATTAGCACCACTTGCTTTAGTGATGAATATGGGGAATACATTTTTGCTAATTTTACTGTAAAAAACCTTAAGACACCTATAACAATCGGTGCCATTTACCGGATACCTCACACAAACATCCCAAATTTCAGTGAGAAATTAAAGGCACTAATAACAAACAGACAAATGAACAAGCACCACCTTCTCTTAGCTGGAGACTTCAATATCAACCTTGGCATACTAGATGATCAGCCTGTAACTGATTTCATCAACAATATGAACAACACACTTCTCATACCAACAACAACTAAACCAACCAGGCTCACTGAGACTAGTGCAACCATAATAGACCACATATTGACCAATATACTAGCCCCCCCTTAAATCAGGGATAATCACAGACAGCACTACAGACCACTACCCTACCTTCCTCTTAAACATTAGTAAGCCACCACTCGAATACAACAAAGTTTGATTTAGACTCCATGACGAGGCCTCAATAAAGAAGTTCACAGCAGACCTAGAGACTGTTGACTGGCCTACAGAATTCTCCAAGGCCAATGGTATTGATGATTGGACAGACATTTTTCTTAACAAATTACTTAGACTATACAACAAACTTTGTCCTATAAAAACGAAACAGGTCACGAATAAACAGCTCGGTTGCCCATGGCTAACCAGCAGCATTCTGAAATCCATTGATAAGAAACACCAATATGAAAAGCAATATAGACATGGCTTAATACACAAAGATATTCTTAAACACTATTCAACAGTTCTCACCAAAGTAATAAAGAAAGCCAAACAACTGTATTACTCCAGCAGATTCACTAACACAAGAGGAAATATGAAAAAGACCTGGAAAACACTCTCTCAGATTCTGGGCACCCACAAACTGAAAAAAACAAGACTATTGTCCTAACTAAACCTAATGAAACTCCACTGCATCCCACTGAAACGGCCAACAAGATAAACGACTTTTTCTCAACCATAGGATCTAATCTTGCCAGTAAACTCCCACATACCAATGCCCATGCTGGGGACTATCTAGATGGGAATTTCCAAAATTCCTTCTATCTTGTACCAACTGAGCCCACCGAGGTCACCGAGATTATAAAGTCACTTAAAAATAACTCAGGGAACCTGTCTCATGTCCCACCATTATTGTACAAGCGAGCGGCCCATGTCCTTTCACATGCTATTTCATTACTTTTTAACAAGTCACTAGAAACTAGCGCCTTCCCGAAACTACTCAAGACAGAAAGAGTTACACCAATACATAAAGGTGGTGGCCCTACTGATGTAAACAACTATAGGCCAATATCAAACTTACCATTGCTATCTAAAATCTTCGAGAAACTCGTGCACAGGAGACTATACGTATTCATTTATAATGGCACAAAACACACTCAACCCCTGCCAATTTGGTTTCAGGAAAAATAAAAGCACTAATGATGCAATTGTAAAAATACTAGATCTGCTTTACACAGCATTGGAAAATAAGGAATTTCCACTAGGAATTTTTATTGACCCAAGAAAAGCTTTTGACACAGTAGACCATGGTATCCTACTCCACAAACTTGACCATTATGGTATAAGAGGCCATGCGCTTGAATATTTCAAATCCTACCTTACTAATAGGTATCAGTATGTCACCATTAAAGACACAGCCTCATCAATACGGCCAATTGATGCTGGG